GAGTTCCACTGCTGAACAGCTCTCACAAGTCAGGAACCAGAGTACCTCTGTCTTGACTGGATTCAATTTCAATTTGTTCACTCTCATCCAGACCATCACAGTGACGAAGCACCAGTTCAGGACCTGAACACGCTCCTTAGCACTAGGTGGAAAGGAGTGAAAGAGTTGGATATAATCTGTGTACAGATAACATCAAACTCCAAACTCTCCCAGCAGCTTCATGTAGATGTTAAACAACATGGGGGACAAGACTGAACAGACAAAGGCTTTGGGGCCAAGCAGGTGTCCCCCAACAACGCCTTTTGAGAGTGATCATCCAGGAAGGACTAGAGCCATTGTAAAACAGTACCTCCCAGACCCATTCCCATGAGTCGTCTCAAAAGGATACCGTGGCCTATGGTATCGAAGGCAGCTGAGAGGTTCAAGAAAAATAAGAGGGACACATTCCCCTTGTCCAGTTCCTGACATAGATCATCCACCAAGGTGACCATGGCTGTTTCAGTTCCATGCCTCAGGCTAAAGCCAGATTGTGCTTGATCCAAATAATCCATTTCCTCCAAGAATTCCTGGAGTTGAGAGGCCACCACATGTTCCAAGGCTTTGCCCAAAAAGGGGAGATTAGAGAGTGGTAAAAAGTTGTTCAACTGCGCGGCGTCCAGTGATGGTTTTTTCGAAGTGGTTTTATGACAGCCTCCTTTAGGCCCGCTGGAATCTTGCCTTCTTGTAAGGAGGCATTAACCACCACCTTCACCCACTCTGGCTTCCTTTATCAGCCAGGATGGAAAGGGGTACAGGATGCATGTGGTCGCCCTAATTTCTCCAAGGATCTTGTCCACATCCTCATGCTGCACGAATTGAAACGAAACAATTAAAACTGGACAAGCAGGTTCTGGTGGAGACTGCTGTTAACGTGGTATCCAAGTCAGAATGGATCAGAGCGACTTTGTTCGCAAAGAACTGAAAAAATGCTTCACAGTGAGCTGCCGAACTATTAGGAACCCCATCTTACATGGGCCCTTGCCACTATTTATGGCAATTCCCGAACATCAAGATATGAATTACAGCACTGAACACCTGGATCTGTCAGATAATAATAATAATAATCTTTATTTATACCCCGCCACCATCTCCCCGATGGGGACTCGGAGCGGCTTACATGGTTCAAGCCCAAATGACAATTACAATAAAGAAAAACCAAAACACAACCGAAAACACAAACAATAAGCAATAACATAGTTACATAAAACATATGAATACATATTGTGTATATTGTAAAAATTACAATATACACAAACAATGGACGGACTACATGTAATGATTAAAAGACAAACTGATTAAAACTAATTAAAAACTTGGGCGAGATAAAAGAGAGAAGCAAGTAATTTACGGAGGAGGGCTCATTATAGTGGGAGTTATGGAATCAAGCTTTCCCATGAGATTACGTTGATGCAAGACACCACCACAACAATTTCTGCAATCAGCACCTCAAACGTCAGTATACCTTAAACTTAAAGCATTCTTAGAAGACAGGAATTTTAGTAAAACCTAATGTTAAATGTTTGTTTCACTGGAAGAACAGAACAACAAGTTGTTTCTACATTACATTACATGTGTTGTTTCTACATTACATTACATGTATTTGATTGCACAACTGCAATCAAATGCAACTATCCCAAATGATTTAAAGACAAGATCCTCTGTGCCTGTCAATTCCCCATCCTCATTACACCATTTAGGTAATTTCTACTTACCATCTTCCAGCTCAGAAAAGCCTACGCAAAGCAGCAAAAGAATGAGAAGCAATCGTTTTGTCACAGGTGGCAGGGCGGTTAAATCAACCTTCTTTGTTCCCACTAATAAAGCTGAACCTATGACACTAAATCTCGACAGTTTGTCAGCAGAAGTGATGTTTTCCTTCCCCACCTCCTCATCACCTGGCTCAGCAACATGCCAGCCACTTGAGGCTAAATATCAGCTAGAGTTTTCCTGTTTCTCCTGCCATGCCAAGGCTTCCTATACTCATTCCAACCCTAACAATCATGCCTCAATCTTCCATCAAAATGCTATTACGCTTACACCACTGGCTCAGCACCTGAAGCAGTAGTTCCTAATAAAAACAGGGGGAGGAGAATGTGGAACAGGACAGGGAAGGGCAGAAACTACGGCAGCCAACCCCTTCATCCCACACCCGCCCACCCTGTCCCTTCCCTTCCCTTCCCACAAGCCAGCTGGAGGAGTCCTGTCAAAGGAAACCAAGGAGAAAGGGAAAGCAATGTGTTTGGCTTTCCCTCCCTTATAAGAGCTGTCATGCCTCCTTCTTCCCACTCTTCATGCCAACTTCAAACTACTTCCCCTTTTGGGCTTTCTACTCTCAGACATTACCAGGAGTGACAAAGGTTGGCCCATGCCTAATCTACACTGGCCATCTAGTCCAACCTCCTGCCATGCAGGGAAAATAATCAAAGCACCCCTAACAGATGGCCATCCATCCACTGTTTAAAAGCTTCCAAGGAAGGAGCTTCTACCACACTCCAAAGCAGTCAGTTTTTAGTACGTAGCATGTTTTGGAAATGTTAGAATGCCTCTAGAACATGGCCATATAGCCCGAAAAAAACTACAAGAACCCAGTAATTCCGGCCATGAAAGCCTTCGACAATACAAGGAAATGTTTCTGTTGGCATATTCTGGGACTGTATTCTTGAACAGTCATCTCATTCCGGGGAGGGCGCAGATGAGCTCCCTCTGTCAGCTCCAGCTCCCCATGTGGGGACATGAGAGAAGCCTCCCACAAGGATGGCAAAACATCAAAAACACCTGGGCATCCCCCTGGGAAACGTCCTTGCAGACGGCCAACTCTCTCACACCAGAAGTAACTTGAAGTTTCTCAAATTGCTCCTGATACAAAAAAATATACATTTGATTCTTGCCAAATACTTGGGGGGGGGGGGGGGCTTCTTATATTATTTCTAATGGTAACCTTTAGTGCTGATTTTTAAAACTTCCCTTTATAGCAGAGCCTTTGTTTTGGTTTCACCAGTTGCTTAATGCTATTTCTGGCTCTGTCAAAACGTTCCTGGAACACCTTAACAGCATCCACCCAAACATCCAGTTCACTATGGAAAAAGAAAAGGAAGGAAGACTGCCTTTTCTAGATGTCCTAGTCATCCGTAAACCAGATCAACAATTGGGTCACACCGTTTACAGAAAACCCACACACACAGATAGATATCTACATAAAAACTCCAACCATCACCCAAGTCAAAAAAGAAGCACCATTAAAGCCTTGGCAGACCGTGCAAAAAGAATATGTGAACCCCACCTCCTCCAAGATGAACTGAACCACCTCAACTGGGCTCTCCAGGCCAATGGATACTCCACCTCAGACATCAGAAGAGCTTCAAGACCAAGAACAAGCCACGAGAGTAAAGATGAAGATCCACCCAGAGGAAAAGTGTTCCTGCCATACATCAAGGGAACCACTGACCGCATAGGGAAGCTGATGAGGAAACACAACATACAAACAATCTACAAACCCACCAAGAAAATCCAACAAATGCTACGTTCAGCAAAGGACAAGAGGGATCCTCTCACCTCTGCAGGAGTCTACCGTATACCATGCAGCTGTGGACAAGTCTACATAGGGACTACCAAACGCAGCGCCCAAACACGAATCAAGGAACATGAAAGGCACTGCAGACTACTCCAACCAGAGAAGTCAGCCATAGCAGAGCACCTGATTCACACCCAGCCCAACTTACAAAAGCCCCTTTGTCTCACCTTGGGCATTCCACAGATATATAAACCCCTTTTTCCCATTTCCAGCAGACCTCACCTCTGAGGATGCTTGCCATAGATGCAGGCGAAACGTCAGGAGAAATGCCTCTAGAACATGGCCATATAGCCCGAAAAAACCCACAAGAACTGAGTGATTCCAGCCATGAAAGCCTTCGACAATACATTAAATATGCTATTTGTTTGTATTGGCATCGTATCGGTGCCCAATGTAAGGCATTGAATTTTGCCATTATTTATGTGTAAACTGCTTCGAGTCCCCCCAAGGGTGAGAAAGGCGGTACATAAATACTGGAAATAAATAATAAATAAATAAATAATACATTTCTGTCCCTGGGTTTTTTTTTTTTTTGGTTGTTGTTGTTGTGTCAGGAGCGACTTCAGAGACTGCAAGTTGCTTCTGGTGTGAGAGAATTGGCCGTCTGCAAGGACGTTGCCCAGGGGATGCCCAGATGATTTGATGTTTTTATCATCCTTGTGGTAGGCTTCTCTCATGTCCCCGCATGAGGAGCTGGAGCTGATAGAGGGAGCTCATCCACCTCTCCCCAGATTTGAACCTGCAACCTGTCAGTGTTCAGTCCTGCCGGCACAGGGGTTTAACCCACTGCGCCACCGAGGGCTCTGTCCTGGTCAAAACTCATAACACCCACAATCAACAATCAAAGAGTGATTAACAAGTTTTGGAGCTATCAACAAGCATGTGTCCTATTTAACTGCCAAAATGAATGTATGGTTTCAGTTGATGTGTCAGATATGCTCCTGCAAAAACAACAGATTGTCCGCAGGGAAAAATTACACGGTGTGCAGTATGGATTAGGCCTGGGCCAACTTGGGATTCCAACTCCCACAATTCCCAACAGCCGGCAGTGTAAATACACAAAGCCTGGGCCAACTTGGGCCCTCCCTCCCTCCAGGTGTTTTGGACTCCAACTCCCACAATTCCTAACAGCCTACCGGCTGTTAGGAATTGTGGGATTTGGAGTCCAAAACACCTGGAGGGAGGGAGGGCCCAAGTTGGCCCAGGCCCGGTGTATTTATCCTGCTGTTGGGAATTGTGGGAGTTGGAGTCCAAAACACCTGGAGGGAGGGAGGGCCCAAGTTGGCCCAGGCCTGGTGTATTTATCCTGCTGTTGGGAATTGTGGGAGTTGGAGTCCAAAACACCTGGAGGGAGGGAGGGCCCAAGTTGGCCCAGGCCTGGTGTATTTACCCTGCCCCGTAATGCAGTTGATATGAGGCACCTGTCAGTCCAGGGCGCGTTTCCCGTCAGGCTTCTCCTCCGAGCACCAGGCCTTCCTTGGCCCTCAGGCTGCCGTTAAACCCTCGCGGCCAGAGGCGCAGCCCTCTCTCCCCCGCCTCCGCTCTCTCCTCCTCCTCCTCTGCCTTCTCTCCTTCTCCCGGTTCCGTGTTTGTTCAAAATCACGCGCCCAGCGCCATTCCGCCGCATCCCATAATAGCTCGGCAGCGCCGCCGTCTTGGCAACGGCTTCGGCGTCATCACTCTTCTCCCGCCTTCTCCAAAAACACAGCCACTTCCGGGTTGACGGCGTCACTGTGCGTGCGTGCGTGTGCGCGCGCGCGCTCGAGAGTGACGCAAAGTCCGTCCTCATTGGTTTCTGAGGCGACGGAGGGGGCGTGGTTATTTTTCCCTCACCGGAAGTGTAGAAAAGAAAAATGGCGGCGGCGGTGAGGCAGGAGTTGACGCAGCTCATGAGCTCCAGCGGCTCCCACAAGGATTTAGCCGGGAAGTAAGCGACGGCTTCTTGGTTTTCGATGAGGGAAGGCGGAGCGGGGCAGGAGAAGCTCGCAAAAAGGGAAGGGAAGGCATTGTATTGTCGAAGGCTTTCATGGCCGGAATCACTGGGTTGTTGTAGGTTTTTTCGGGCTATATGGCCATGGTCTAGAGGCATTCTCTCCTGATGTTTCGCCTGCATCTATGGCAAGCATCCTCAGAGGTAGTGAGGTCTGTCGGAACTAGGAAAAGGGGGTTTATATATCTGTGGAATGACCAGGGTGGGACAAAGGACTCTTGTCTGTTGGAGCTAGGTGTGAATGTTTCAGCTGACTACCTTGATTGGCATTTGATGGCCTGGAAGTGCCTGGAGCAATCTTTTGTTGAGAGGTGATTAGATGTCCCTGATTGTTTTCCTTCTGCTGTTTTGCTGTTTTAATTTTAGAGTTTTTAATTTGCTTGCCACAGATGCAGGCAAAACGTCAGGAAAGAATGCCTCTAGAACATGGCCATATAGCCCAAAAAAAAACCTACAACAACTGAGTGATTCCAGCCATCCTCAGAGGTAGTGAGGTCAGACTACACAGAGAAGCCACTGAAATCCACAAGCATGTGGACAATTTCAACAAAAAGGAGGAAACCATGAAAATGAACAAAATCTGGCTACCGGTACTAAAAAAAACTCTAAAATTACAACGGCTAAACAACAGAGAGGAAACAAACAAGGACATCTAATCACCTCTCAACAGGTGTCCCAGGCACTGTCAGGCCATGAAATGCTAATCAAGGTGGTCAGTTGAAACATTCACATCTAGCTCCCGCAGACAAGAGTTCTTTGTCCCACCCTGGTCATTCCACAGATATATAAACCCTTTTTCCTAGTTCCAACAGACCTCACTACCTCTGAGGATGCTTGCCATAGATGCAGGCGAAACATCAGGAGAGAATGCCTCTAGACCATCGCCATATAGCCCGAAAAAACCTACAACAACCCAGGGAAGGCATTGATTCAGTGGTTTAAACACGGCCTGGCCCGTCCCTTGCCCATCTTCACTGTAGAATGAATAATAATAATCTATATAAATAAAAATGTAATGTTCGTTTGTGCTATCCACAGAACTCACAAACCACTGGGGCAATTGGCACCAAATGTGGACACGATACACCTAACAACCCAATTTATGTCCTTCATTCAAAAAATTGATTTTGTCATTTGGGAGTTGTAGTTGCTGGGATTTGTAGTTCACCTACAATCAAAGTACATTCCGAACCCCATCAACGATGGAATTGAACCAAACGTGGCACACAGTTCTCCCATGACCAACAGAAAATACTGGAAGGGTTTGGTGGGCAGTGTCCTTTGGTTTTGGAGTTGTAGTTCACCTACATCCAAAGATCACTGTGGACTCAAACAATGATGGATCTGGACCAAACTCTACAAGAATACTCAATATGCCGAAATGTGAACACTGGTGGAGTTTGGGGAAAATAGAATCTTGACACTTGGGAGTTGTAGTTGCTGGGATTTATAGTTCACCTACAATCAAGGAGCGTTCTGAACCCCACCAATGATAGAATTGGGCCAAAGTTCCCACACAGAACCTCCATGATCACAGAAATTACTGTGTTTTCTGATAGTCTTTGGCAACCCCTCTGACACACCTTCGCGACCCCCCCCCCCGGGGTCCTGACCCCCAGGTTGAGAAACACTGCTCTAGAACATGGCCATATAGCCCGAAAAAACCTACAACACCCCAATAACAAAATAAAGTCAGGAGAGAATGCCTCTAGAACATGGCCATATAGCCTGAAAAAACCCAAACCCTGTAAAAGTTAGACAGTCATACACACATCTCAACATGTGTGTGTGCAATCTCACTGAGACCCCCTCCAAAAAAATACTGCTTTATTGGGTCCCTTTTCATCTTCCAGGTTCTCTAATTCACTATGGATTCATCACATTTTGTCAACATCCTACCTCCACTTAGCCAAGCAAACATTTTCCTTCTCTTCTATTAATTATTTTTACATCCCCAGCTGTTATGCCCTTTGCATGTGGTGTTTTCGTTTCCCCTTCTCCTTGCTCTTGAACCTATTATCCTTGAGAGTTTTATATACAGCGAACCATCTTTCAAAACAATTTCTCCCACTGCAACCAAAAGGCTTTCTCTAAGACAATTACTAAGTTGAACTTGTTTATAAATTGAGCAAAATCTTGCTTTTCAGTGTCCTTCAATTATTCCAATTATTCTTCAATTATTATTAAAATCCCAGCTACATTTCCTACCCTGAATGAGGTTGCATCTCTACTCATCAGGATCAGTATGTGTCACCTTGTCAAATGCCACCGCTTGCCCTTTCTTAAACCTATGGTACTAAACATAGTATTCCCAACATAGTATTCCCATGAGGCATCAGCTTCTGATCTGTGGAGACTTTCTAGGAAATAAACAGGTGCAGTCAGTGGACACAAATATGGTGTCACCTATAGCACTTTGCTGGGGTAAAAGATGTGTTGTTCCTCCGCATCAGATCCTACTTACTTACTTAGGTTATCCCTCACTGTCCGAGTATTTTGGCCTTTCAATTGTAGTGTCTTGGTGGTGGATACATATAATAATAATAATAATAATAATAATAATAATAATAATAATAATAAACTTTATTTCTACCCCGCTACCATCTCCCCGATGGGGACTCGGAGCGGCTTACATGGGGGCAAGCCTGGACAATATAATACAGCAATAAAATCAAAACATATACAATGGACAGCAACAACATTATCAAAATGATATTAAAATAATAATAATGTTAACCCCTCAGCTGAACAGTTGTTAGGATGTAATCTCCATCTCAGATGGAATTTACTGGTTGATTTACCCTTTTTAATGATTAAATGATTGATACATTTGTACTCCTGCCTTGTCTATATAGTGAGCAGTAGGAAATAGGAGTAAGATACTGGGTTTCAAAGTGTTAAAAATAACTATTTTCTTTCCAGCAAGTCATGTTTTTAACACTCCTGAAAATCAACAATCAAGATATTCAAATAGCACAGTGAGAAATAAGGTGACAGTTTTGTGGTTATGGCCTTTGCGTTTTGAATGTGACAGGAAGTATGTGTGACATCCAAAATATAGACATGGTGGCCACAGCACTGTCACTTTCTTTTCCTCATAAACAGTTTCACCATTTTTGCTTGATAAAGAGTTCTGTCAAGCTTTGAAAGCAAGTGGAATGTACTTTGTGCCTTTCCGTTGGCCTAGTAAAGGTATCAGCACAGAAGAGAGTTTTGTGCTTTGTTGTGTTTTGTTTTAGGACAAATTCCTTAAACCTAAGTTATGTTTTGACTGTTTACATTGACTACTACTCTCATTCCACCCAAATGTAAAACTCATTCTGAAAATAAGCCAGTATTGTTAATTGTGACTGATTTATTTTTGACATTTTCTGGCAGATATCGGCAGATATTGGAAAAAGCAATTCAGCTCTCTGGAGTCGAACAGTTAGAGGCATTAAAAGCCTTCGTAGAAGCAAGTGAGTTTCAACATTGTTTTTCAGATGTTGTTAAATGCCAGAGTTATAAATACCGAACCGCAGGACTTGCATGTGTGTTTGTGTGTAGGTAAACAGCTTTTCATTTGCCTGTTTTTGTGTCATAGAATTGCTAATGATGCTTACTCTTGTTAATCCAGGAGTACTTGGACCACATGAGACAAATGAGTTGAAAATTTGACAATGTACCACTGTTGGTGTAATATACAAAAGCTCCTTTCATTTAGTTTGGCTGTCTGAAAATTAAGTTTGCAATCAACAAAATATAATTTAGCCTTGATAACACCATGATTATGGTCCAAATGACAAGCCTGATTTAAAGGTATGTTTTTTTTTAAATTTTCTCATTGTGTCCCTTATTTAGTGGTGAATGAAAATGTCAGTTTAGTGATTTCGCGCCAGTTGCTGACAGACTTCTGTACCCATCTCCCGAGCCTTCCTGACGGCACAGCTAAAGAAATCTACCACTTCACGTTGGAAAAGATCCAGCCTCGTGTAATTTCATTTGAAGAGCAGGTAAGAACAAGAAATCAGGGGCTCTTGATTTCTAAAAGGCTACTCTGTAGGGTTTTTGCCTAGATTTGTACAAGCGCAATGGGTTAAATCCTTGCGCTGCTGAATCTGCTGACCTGAAGGTTGGCGATTTGAAGCCAGGAGTCAGGGTGAGCTCCTGCTGTTAGCCCTAGCTCCAGCCAACCTAGCAGTTTGAAAATATGCAAATGTGAGTAGATCAATAGATACCGCTTCGGCAGGAAGGTAATAAAGGTGCTCAAGCAACCACGCCAGGAACATGACCAGGAGGTGTCTACGGACAACATCTCCTTGGCTTGAGAATGGAAAAGGTGTACCTCACCATGGCCAGAGTTGAGCACTGCCTCCAGAAGCCAGAGATGAAAGGGAAAGCCTTAACGTATGTTCTGTGTATTTGTGTGCTCTTGTTATTTCACTGCATTAAAGGCACTGAATGTTAGCCTATCTGTGTATGTTGTAAACCACTCTGAGTCCCCTCGGAGAGATAGAGTGGAATATCAGTAAATTATTTATTCTAAAGTGTTGATTCCCCTCTTAAATGATTTGAACACACGTTTTAATTGATATGAGGACAGATGCTTTGAAGCTTTTAAACCAGAACTGCAGTAGAAACTGTTTAATACAGCAAACACATGTTGACTGAATTCATTGTGTGGCTCCATTTTTTGTAAGCAAATGGTTATCTAATTATTTGAATGTTTTATTGTCAATTAAAACTTTTT